CAATGATTTAAGACATTATTTCACCAGTAAGTTTCTGAGTTTGATTCAATGATGTATTTTCTTAACTTAGGGTTTAGATTTAAAGAGTCATGAATTAATGAGACTCTTTAGAGCTGCTACTTCCATGGAAAATAGAGTAAAGTTAAAAATTTGCCTCTTTGACTTACATAGTTTGTACTTGAATTTAAGTTGAGAATGATTTTTTGGAAGCATTGGCCTAGCATAATTAGAAGTATTATATTCATTATCAATAAACATATTTAAATGCCACATTGTGATGTTGGACTTATTGTACCATATGCTATATCTGTACTTATTCCATCATGGATCTGATGTTAATATTTCACAGGGGGTTAGATTGCTTGAGAGCAATTTCATTAACAATACATCAATGGTGTTTGGTCTGTGTTTGAGGGTATGTTTGAGCTTTTTTTTTCCTTTATACTACTAAGGACCTAAAAAATTACTCAAATGGGTGAACTTTTTTGTTCAACTCCATGTCCTTATGCTTGAATAAGTATCTCGCTTTTGTAGTTATTTACTTTCTTTCACTTTCAGTCTCTGTTGGAGCACCAGAAGAATCGAAATAAGCCACTGCAGAAGCACTACCAAAACTCCTTGGTAATTCAAGTTGCAAATATTTACAATGTTTCTTAGAAGCTATTTTGTTTCCTAAATTTTCTTAGAATTTATGTATTAAAAAGACCATCTAATTTTGATTGCTATGATCAGTTAACCAGATATATGCGAGATTATCTGGAAGGCAAGAAGAGGATGATGTTGGTGAGCTTCTCGACATTCTGTGGGGCCATGCATCAATTATGCTGTTCTATTATACTCAGCAGTTTGTATAATTGTGGAGTCAATTATTGAATTTTTATATCTGCAGATTTTAACAGTCAAACCTGGAGTAGAAGATTACCTGGACACATCCTTTCTGTTGAGGCAGGCTTCACCATTCACAAAAATCAAGTAAGGAAATCTGCTTGATCATTACCTTGTAATAATCCCTTTGGTCTTTCAGCAAAATAGTTATGATGGTTTGTATCCAATGCAGGTATAAATCCATGGAAGATCCAGTAACTTGCAACAAGAGGCCCAATCAAGCATTTCCTCGAGCAGAGCAACATAAGAAAATGAAGTTTAGCAACAGTGGAACTTCTGTGGTAATCATTTGCTGAATCTTCAAACACTCATTAGCAACTTAAGAATGATTTTGCGTCATATTATGGGATATTACATTATGTTTATAGTAGTAATTTGATCAGTTTAACCTGCCTCTAAACTATATTTACCTTTTTTTTATTCTACTGTCTGTTGATTATTTCCAGTTTTCTTTCAGATTGGTGAAGGGATTATTGACAGAGGTTTCCATTTTATGCCCAAAGGTTGGTTTAATGTCTCTTTGCTTTATGACACCTACTTTGTTTACATTATATTGGTGTTATGCCTTATTCCCACATTGAAAACTCTTCATATGCTATCTACTGACAGAAATTGATCGGAATGTGGATAAAGATTGTCTAAATGAAAACATTGACGAAATTTATGGTGAGAACTTAAATGAGAATCGGGTTCTATTAGATGGATTTGTTGGATGTGAAATACAAGATAAATTGCCCTTGAAAGGAGATTACTGTGAAGTTACGGTTGAAAAAGATCGGGAGTACCGAATTATGCAAGGACTTTCAAAAGCTATGTGGACTGTCCTGAAACAGTACAAGAAAAAACTAGAGGTAGTATGTGATTACCATGGAAACTATATTTATATTATCTTTACGTATGTTTGAATAACTGTTCATCCATTACATACTTGTTAGACTCAATATAACTTTGATTTCTTTCTCGGTTTCTCCACAGGAAGTCGAAATTGATAATTGCCATCTAAGAGACAGCCTAATGAATGAAAAGACGAGAATCCTGTACCTCGAGAATGAACTGATGGGTGAAAAGATGAGGTTCCTTGATCTGGAAAATGAACTAGGGGAGTTGAAGACTCAATGTACATGTGATAATTCTCCAGTTTCAGGAGATGATGCTTGTTTCAATCTTTCACAACATCAAATGATTGAATTGCATGAGGTACCTGTTGTGTAACTCTTCAAGATAAAACACCTAACGTATTTCTGTATCTGTACCTTCAAGCTTTTCTTTCTCAAAATGTATGTAGGGGACACCATAAAAAACCCAGTTTACTGTAGAATACATCTGAGTATACTGTTCATTCTATTAGTTACATTGTTTTGATGGTTGACTAAATGGTTTGCTTCAATAACTTGAATAGAGATCTCAGTGATACAAATCCTAGGTTACTTCTGTAGGACAACATCTGAGTATGCTATTCAGTTTGTTATTTATGTTGTTTTGATGGCTGGCTCATTGGTTTCTCTCAAATGCTTGAATACAGATATTAGTGATACAAAACACATCTGACTGTAGGGCAATATCTGAGTATACTAGTCAATTTTTTCATTTAAATATTTGTTATGCCTGGCTCAATGGTACCCATCAATGCTTGTATAACCTTATCAGTCATCCATCCTTTTTAGGTAAACAATAATTCACTGAAACTGCAAGGTATATTTTGGCAAACAGTATTCTCAGCACTATGCGCTCTTTATTTTTTCCTCTGTTTTTACATTCTTCGATTAGATTTTCTACGTGTCTTTCCTAATGAGCTCATCATCCTGTACTTGACTTATCTGATTTTGTGATCCTGGATATTTTGTAGTTGAACCCAGATGTTTCATCGTATTCCTTGAAAGAGTTCGATCAAAGTGAAAGCGAGAAGATAACTGATTCCCCGGTAAGCCATTTGAATTTGCTATTTGATAACCACTTTATATATCTGATTGTAGATAATTGAAGATCAATTCACTACTGGTCAGGCTAGAGATTCAATTGTGACCTATGCTTCAAGTTCTGGTGGAACTGAAGAGCACTACCCGCAGGTATAAAACTGAAGCTAGTTATTCGTGGTGTTTTTTCCCTTAATAACTTGCTGGAGTAAGAGCCTCTTATAACACTTATCTTTCGAACTCATTCATCAGCAAGTGGAAATCCTCCTAGAAAGTAGTGGCGATAGTGATGGTGAGAAGGACTTTAAAGATACCATCACAGTTGATGTGTGCTCCAGCATCCAGGAACGTTTGATAAGTACTAGTGACACTCAAGATCTAATTTGCCCTCAAGATAAAGGCATAGTAAATATGTCTTCCAGAAGTGAAGTAACTAGTCAGTTGATAAGTGTGTGCCAATTGGAAGACCTTCCAGAAAGTAGTGGTGATAGTGAAGCTGAACAGGGGTTTAAAGATACCATTACAGTGGATGTGTGCTCCATAAGCCAGGAACTTTTGATAAGTACAAAAAACGCTCAAAATCTGATCTGCCGTGAAGATAATGGCATAGCGAAAAATTCTTCCAGAAGTGAAGTAACTAGTCCGTTGACAAGTGTGTGCCGATTGGAAGACCTTCCAGAAAGTAGTGGCGATACTGAAGCTGAACAGGGCTTTAAAGATAACATCACAGTGGATGTGTGCTCAAGAAGTGAGGAAATTTCAACAAGTACTAATAACGCTCAAGATCTGATTTGCTGTGAAGATAAAGGCATAGTGAATATCTCTTCCAGAAACGAAGTAACTAGTCAGCTGACAAGTGCGTTCCAATTAGAAGACCTTCCAGAAAGTAGTGGCGATAGTGAAGGCGAAAAGGGCTTTAAAGATACCATCGCAGTCGATGTGTGCTCCAAAAGCCAGGAACATTTGTTAAGTACTAATAACACTCAAGATCTGATCTGCTGTGAAGATAAAGGCATAGTGAATATTGCTTTCAGAAATGAAGTAACTAGTGAGCTGACAAGTGCGTGCCATTTGGAAGACCTTCCGGAAAGTAGCGGCGATAATGAAGGTGAGAAGGGCTTTAAAGATACCATCAAAGTGGATGTGTGCGCCAGAAGTCAGGAAATTTCAACAATTACTAATAGCTCTAAAGATCTTGAAGATCAAGTGAGAATGAACATGCCTACCAGAAGTGAAGCAACTAGTGAGTTGACAAGGGCGTGCCCTAACACAAGTCAAGAGTCTGAAGAAGATGCTATAAACAATGCTGGAGAAGCAAATAATTTGGAACCAGAGATTGAAATCGTATCAAATGGACCGTCTTTTGCTACTCCTCTTAAATCTGGAAGTGCTAAAAGTTCTCAAGACCATGAAGGTATAAAAGGTGCCACAGGAGAGCCAACTCAGCTTGACAAGGGTGCAGCAGGTGCAATTGTTAATATGTGCTTCTATATGCATATGCTATATAGCTTATAGGCTAGTCCCTTCATTTTTTGCACTCTTCTAAGTCACATATATTTTCCAGATTACGAGCCATCATTGGTTGAGGACCAGATTGTTTACGTGACAACCCACTCCCAGACTGTGATTAACTCTTCTGGAACTCCTCGGAAAGATGATATTTATTCTCGTGTGGATGAGGAGCAGCTCGATAATGAAGAGCGCAAGGTGAGTTTGGTGCTTTTTGAACTTTGAAAATTATGTTATTGCTTTATACTTTTATTCATCCTGCATAAATCTGATTGACTATCTATCTCCTCGTTAGTGATGGCACACCATTGTCTTTGTGAAAATTTAGTTCAATTGCTAGTCGAATTATGTAGTCATTTAATAAAGAAGAATGATTAAAAGATTGATATTCTGGGTTTATGTCTTTTTTTGTGTAACAGCCAACACTTAGCCTTTGCTTACCATTGGGGATATTTTCGAGAATTTTCTTCTGCCCTTAGTCAAGAGAAAGGTGTAATAATGATAACAGTACCTCTGTTTTACTCTATTAACCATAATCTCTGCTGTTACTGCACATTTATGAAGATAAGTTTAAGAGTTTGGTTTTAGGAGAACCACTGTGAGCAAAATGGATTACACCTTAAATTCTCTTATCATTATTTTATTGATTGTATGGTGATAATTTGTTATTTGTTTGACTTGACCTTCCTAATTTACCTGAATATATTTTGATAATTAGTGAACTCTGGAGTCCACTAATTATAACTGTCACTGTTTTCGTTTCTCCGATTTTTTATATGTTTATGAGATTTCACATGTAATTGATCAATTCCTGAAGGTGTTTAAGTTACTTATTAGATGTGTCGGTGTCGAATTTTACAAGAACTTTCCCCATATTCTGCAAAAAAAGATTAACACTATTAATTGCATATTGTAGGAGCAGCTGGATTCACCGCCACCGGTTGTTGTTCTACCTAAGCAAGAATGTGAAACGAAAAACTTGCCCAAATTTGTGCCCAAACAAGAATGCGATGCACAAAACATGCCCAAATTTGTGCCAAAGCTTGCTTCATGCAGCAATTTCCAGCAGACAGAGAAACCGAAAAGGTCTTGATGGCTGATCAATCCATGCTATTTTCATGGAAGTTCTTGCTCCAACATAGGATGAATTATTTACCTTTTTTTCCGTTTCCGTAACCTTTTCGTTTCATTTCATAATTCATTACTCAGATTTTATTTATTTATTATTTTTTTATTCAGGAGACTTCAACCAGCTTCATCTGTATTGTTGAAAGATATCAGCATACTAGACATCAAGGATGACAATGACAAGCCAAAGGTTAAATTTTCACCTTTTTTTTTAAATATGAGTAACTGTTTTTTTTCGGACAAAAAAATGGTGTCCACCATACTTTTCTTCGGTTTTGGAAAGAAAAAAAAATCAGCTTCGCATTTTTTTTTCCTTCCCAAAATCGAAGAAAAAGAATAGACACGTGACTCAAAATATCTAGCTTTGAGTTAGAAACTCTTCTTCATTTGTTTGTCTATCGAATAATTACAACTACGCCAACTCAAAATTACTATTGTTATTTCAGGGGGGCAGGGGTGGAGGGAAGACAGTGACGAAGGAAGACAAGAACAGAACACAAGGCAGCTTATCTCTCCTTAATCTGCTTACAAGTAACCTTAAACGATGAGAAAGTCTCGTTCTCTAATTTTTGGCTGTATATTGATCTTGTACAGGAATATGTTGGAACATCTGTTCAATGAAGTCACTTAAGTCTGTCGGTAACTGCGTACAAATCATTTTATTACATAGAACGCATTTCATGCAAAAGCTATTTTATTGAGCTCTGCATTTTTTTCCTTCTTTTTGGAACATCGAAAACGTACATTGCCATTTTTACAAGCACGACGAGTCTCGTAAGAATCGATGTGCTTAATGCAGCACTCCTTTTTGGATTACCCTTTTTTTTTTTCATTAAACATTTCTTACCGTGAATTGGTTTTCTGTGCATGGTATTTGGCATATACAACGATGTCGTTTTGTGTTATATATATATATATATATATATATATATATATATATATATATATATATATATATATTTAAATAGTGAAATGAAAAAGTACCCTATACCCATACATAGGTATATCATATCAACTTCAAGATTTGGTCTACATTTGGGATTCCAAAATAGTCAAGACAATTACTAGTCAAATATTCAATCTCATCTTCTTCTTTTTCTTCTTGTTTGCATATTTTTTCATTTAAACTAAAAATCAAATCAAATTATGTATACTCCATTTCGAGATTGTTCGTTCAAAACTCGTTCGAGCTCGACTTACAAACACAGCAAAATCAAACTCATATTTTCGTCCAATAAACTATGAAACTGATGAAGCTTGAGTTTCATTAGAAGAAAAAAAAAAACTATCATAAAAAATTATTGTAAAAGATTTTGCTAGCATCATGAAATCTTGAAATATAGTTTAATTTTACAAGCAATTATTACTTAGTAGTATTTCTTTTTTGTTTAAAGGGAAGATATTTACACGTGTCATCCACGTGACAAGGTGGGACCACCTTGAAAATATAATAAATAAATGAAAAGAAAAAAAGAGGAAAAAAGGATAAGGTGCTCTCACTTTCATGGAGGACCATCTGCACCTGCCCTTTTCCTCAAAAAGTCTTTATAGAAATACCCAAAAACTTTTGATTCAGACACCTTTTTTGTTTTTGCAGTCTTTACTTCAATTCTTGTCCCTCACTGTTTGCCCACCCCCCACCCCCCTACCCACCCACCCACCCCCACCCACCTCCTCTCTCTTTCTCTCTCTACAATATAAATTTGGCGCGTAACTGGTCAACCATGTAGCCCCATACCCGTTTGCTTTGTCGACTTCTGAAACGGGTCGGATCTTCCAGGAATTTTAATTTGGCATGCCACGTGTCAATTTTGTTTTAACTACTATTTTCCTCAATTATATCATATTAATAATCAGTTAATTACAACAAAATAAAATAAAATTACTTTTAATTTTTCACTTGTATATATATATATCAATATTCATTAATGATGATTGTCCAACTTACACACAGAGGAAAATTGTATTTATTTATTTATTCATTTTGATAACTAGAGGCAATTTATATTAAATGCATTGATTTTTTGGGTTCTTTATTATTATTTTTATTTGTGTTTTTTTAAAATAAAAGCTGGTTATTTCTGTGATTTTGTGAACCCGGCCCATTTCGAAGCGAATCGGGTTCGGTTAGGGTAAACACACGCGTAGCACGTGTTGAATACCCACTTGTGAACTAAAACAGACCAACAAGCAAAGGAGAATTCAAGAGGAAGAAGAAGAACACATTTCGAAAAGAAAAAAAAAAAGTAAATCAGCGTAGGGTTTTTTTTTTTAATTATTTTTTTTTCCGCAAATTTCCGTTAGTTTTCATCCGCGGAAGGAAGGAAACTTCTGTTCGAAGATAGAGAAAATTTGTTGTTGTTGTTGATTTAGGTTAAGCAGCCGGAGGATTTGGAATTAATTAAGCTTTTTCCCCGGTTTTGGAAGAGGTAATTAAGCTTTGAGATTTAATTTTTTTTTTTAATTATGATTTTGAATTGAAGCGTTTTTTTAATTTCCCCTTTTTTGCTGCATTAATTACCGCAATCTTTATCAAATCTCTACCATGTATATACTACTATATTGACTGCCGGTATATGCGAACTTTATGCGTTTGGATATGCTAATTCCTGCTGCGAAGGTTAAAGAAATTGGTAATTTAGGGTTTCGACGAAAATTGGTAATCTAGGGTTCCGATTGAAGGGTTGCCTTTATTTTCTTCATGTTAGTGGGATTTATAATTATAATTAATTTATTTGTTCGGCTTCTTTTTCTCTGGTCTAAATTGTTTTTTGGTTGCTTAAAGCCCTAGATTGGGTTCTTATTTGTGTGTGTGTGTGTGTGTGTGTGTGTGTGTGTGTGTGTGTGTGTGTGTGTTCGTTTTGTTTGGTGAATTGTGCTTTTCAGAGACTCCTTGTTATATGAAACTCTTTTCTATCTGATAAATATTTCATCAGTTAAATCATGCATCATTGGTTATTTACCGTTCTTCTGAATTTCTTCTCCTTTTCAGGATTAAGATAAATTCCTGCTTGGTGATTTCTCTTGGAATAATTTTTGCATTATTCTCGATCGAACAGGGCATTTTCGAAGTCGTAAGTTACTACTGAATTGTATTGGACTCGTTAATTTCTCCCCATATATTCTGTTTTCGTGCATCAATACTTATTTCTGACACTAGTTTGCTTTTAGATTGTAATTGTGCATCAACACTTGGCTCTAAGAGCAGTTATCTCTGATATAATAGGATGCCCATACTTTAAAATATTTTGTGTGGTAAAACCAGTTTGGTTTATGGAACTAAAGTTGGGTAAACAGGTGTGTGAAACATGGAAAAGGTCCCCTCGATATAGAAACTCGTAGACCTTTCTATCAAAACATGTAGCAATGTATGCCACGTGGTAAATATGATACTACATCACTTTTAAGTTCTTAATTCTTCTTGACCTCTTTGCTGATCGAGAATGATAAGTGCTTGCTCTAACTGATAACTTTGGAAGCCAATTTTGCTAGAACTTGGGCTTATTCTGCTTAAAACTCATTTTTAAACTGCGTCGTAACAGTTCTTCGGATTATATGACAAGTAATTAATTATGAACAAGTATATGGGTCGATTATCTTTATATAGGCAGTGTATTCAATTTGGAACATTTAGAGAAATTTTCATATTTTTTCTAAAGTTTGTCGAAAACAATCTTGCACTTTGCTTTAAAATCATTTGTACATTTCAATTATCTTTAATTTGGACAGTGAGAGATTTTTAAATGTTATGGTCATTCGTAAACAACCATTCACTTATATTGTTTCAGAATTGTTTATTTAGCAGTACCTAAGCAGTTTTATGGGCAATTAATTGTGCCTTTTCAGGTAGGGTATATCTCTAGCAATTATATAATTTTGTATGGGTAATTAATTGTGCCTTTTCAGGTAGGGTATATCTTTAGCAATTATATTATTTTGCGTGTAAGGTAATCTTCTTAATATTCTTAATGACATTTTCTTTTCATGATTTCTTGCAAAGCAAGATTCGTTATTCTGCCTGAAGGTCTTATACATGTATCAAGTGAAGTTATACTGAAACCATCTCTAATAGGCTATTTACTGCTTCTCGCCTGTTTTTTTTTTTTTCCCAAAAAACATTTTCTTACCTAAGTTAGTTTTGATGCGCTTTTGGAGATGTCTGCGAGCACTTCTACCATTCTTGATTATACAGGAAGTAAATTCCATCTCAGGGTTGTATGATTATATCGTTGACCTTTTTTCAGGGTTCTGAACCAAGATAATGCTTGGAAATACAGTAGTTTGTTCTGATCCAACTTCCGGTAGATGATGAATCTTGACGACTTCTTCACCTCGACCGAGATGAATAACGGGCTTGTGGCCCCTTACCGGGTCCGAGAATTTATGGCCGTCATGCAGAAAGAAAGAGATTGTGTTGCAAAGAACACTGCTGACTCCACAAGGCAGTGGTCTGCAGTTGCAAGTGCTATAGCTGCCACCGATAACAAGGATTGTCTCGATCTTTTTATCGAGTTGGATGGCCTTCGCTTCATCTCCAATTGGTTGAAGGATTCACACAAGTTCAGTGATGACACAATTGACACCTCTGTTGAAGAGTCTATTACCCATTTGCTGTGTGCGCTTGGAAAAATGCACTTGGACTATGAAAAACTTGTTCAGTCTGAAATCTTGGCGACTGTCCAGGATTTCCTTGTCCACAAAAGTTCCAAGATTCAGAACAATGCTAGAGTGCTGTTTGAAAGCTGGGAAAAAAAGAGAGACAGTGATGCATCTATTTCCGATGTTGATAAACCGAGAGCTTTGATTGATGATAAGGCGGGAGAGAGTGCTGGTATAGAGGGTGGTGCAGGAATTTCGGAATCTTCTCCAGCAGATTCTTCTGTTTCAAGAGTAACTTCTGTTAAAGAAAAAGGCGATGAATTAACCGGATTGTGTGCAGTGCTATCTACAAGTTCTGATGCTGTTCACGCTGAAAGTGCACGCAATTCAGACAACAGCTTAGATCATGTTAGCTCACCATCCTCACCGAAGCCTGTAATGGAGCCCCCAGTGTGTGATTCAATTGATACTACCTTTCAGCCATTTATTCCAGCTGTTTCTGGGCAAGATACTTTGGAGACTCCCACAGAATTTAATGACTTGGAGTCGCCTAATCACATAAAGCAGTCTTTGAAAATTGAAGGTTCACCGGAGAAATTAGGCTCGCTTGAAGAATCTAAGATGTCAGAAGGTAGACAGGTTACTTCAACTTCTGATGCTGTTCATGAAGTGAAAACTGTAAAGGAACTCAATTCACGAGAGAACTCGGTAATTGGAGATAAGAACTCATCCGATGAAGGTTTATCATTGGTTGACTCCGATGGGAAGGATGCTGCCATGGATGCTAGCAGTGATGCAAATCAATGCAAAAGTTCAAGTGCATCTTACATTGCTAAAGAAGGGGGTGATTTTAGCAATTGTGCGATGCCGAAATCCTCTGGCAATGAAAACCGCTGGGGAGATTCTAAGGGTTTAGGGACATTCTTTGATGGAAAGGTGAATACATTTGGCCTGCTTAACAACGATTCGTCAGAAAATTATAGGTTTGGCAAAAAACAAATAGATGGGGAAATTGTAGATCCTCTAGAAGTCGCTAGGCAGGTGGCCATGGAGGTGGAGAGAGAAGTTGTTGATTATGGAGAACAAAGTTGCAGTTCTTCCGAGAAACTATTGAAAGGCAATACCAGTGCCAATGAGGGCTCACCTAAGGAGGTGGCGGCAAATGACCAGAATTTGTCAGATGAATCTTCGAATGAATCTTCGGCAATGCATGAAGAATCTGCAACTAGCTCCGAAAACTTAGAAACGGAGCAGAAAAACGGCACACAAGATATAGCAACCTCTCAAGCTACTGAGGTGGCTCAAGAAAAAGAAGAAGAAGCCAACACAGAGAGAGGCATCTGCAGCTTTGATCTGAACGAAGAAGTTCATATGGAAGAGTCTGGCAACCAATTTCCGGCACCTGTTTCTACCGTTTCTGCTTCAAGAGCGGCGGCAGCAGCTCCCGGACAGACGCCAGGTGGTCCATTGCAATTTGAGGGAAATCTTGGCTGGAGAGGCTCCGCTACAACAAGTGCTTTCCGCCCAGCACCACCTCGCCCATTGCCTGAAAGTGACAAAATGAACTCAAGAAGATCCGACAATCTTGATTTTGATCTGAATGTAGTTGGAGAATCATCTTCTGTCGAAATGAACTCGAGAAGATCCGAGAATCTCGAACTGGACCTGAATCACACAAGTGAAGATGGTGGTGGAACCCTCTCAGAGTGGCAAATAGCGAACTTCTTTCCCCAAGCAAATTCCTACAATATTCAGTCTTATTCTTCATCATCTTCAAAGCAGCCAATAAGCAATATTGATCTGAACGATCAGCCGTCATTTCTAACCGATTCTTCCAATAATACCCACATGAGTAAAGTTTCTCAAAGTCTCGATTTCTTCGGAGGCATCAAGCCGGACGATTCAGCGATATCCATAATGGGAAGAAGAGTGGAGTTGAATCGAAAAGATTCAAACGGCAAAACTCCAGAGCTTGCGAGTAGTTTTCTAGGAATGGGTCCCGCACTTCAATATGCCCATTCTTCGGTTTATGGCTACAATAATAGTATGGCTATGCCTTTCCCATCTACAGTATATGGGTCCGGACCACAGATTCCTTACATGGTGGATTATTCCAGAGGAGCGCCTGTTATGCCACAGATTGTCGGGTCCGCCTCAGCTAATATACCAACTGCTTTCTCTCAACCGCTGCCATTTCTTACAAATATGAATGCTGCAGTTCCTCCAAATGGGGCTGGGCCTTCACGGAGCAGTTTTGATCTGAATTCCGGAATGTTGACCGAAAGTGGAAGTAGAGAAGAACCTTTGGGGTTAGGTCTGTTCTTAAACTCGGCTATTGGTGGGAAAAGAAAAGAACCGGAGAATGGGTGGGAAAATTACCCTTTTAGGCATTATACACCGCCTTGGAAGCATAATTGATTTGTTCGGTACTTTTCTTAGGATTGGATTAGGGACCAATCAGAGGAGACTAGTGAACTTTTATAGCATTGGTTAATTTGAAGTGAGCGAGAGGGGAGAGATTTACGAGAACAAGACGATGATGGGAATTGCGGGTGTTTACTTGATTCTTGAGATCTAGAGGAGATAATAGAGAACGATAGGTTCAATTTGTCTAAATTCTTCTATTATTTATATTGCCCTTTTTTTTCGCTTTATAGGAAAGCAAAGCACAGGAACTGATTATCTGACATTTCAGTTAAAACTTTTGGAGCTACTGTAAATAATTACTTTTTTCGGAACCATGGGGATACATTTACGTTCACTCACTCTTTCTCGTTCATAGTCATATATATATCGTCGCAATTATTTTTTTATTTTTTTGATGTACTATATTTTTAGCAGGAAATAGCATAAAAAGTGCAGTTTGTGAAATATATTTTCTTGAATTCATCGCAATTGTTTTGGGAAGGAATTGGAACTTTGGATAATTTATTTGTCGAGATATTCAACATTATATGTGTGTGTGCGAGGCAATATATCATCTTTACTTCAAAGTATTTACAAATTAATCAAAATGTTCATTCATTTTGTTAAAACCTTCACAAAGGTGTGATCATGCCAAGGATAAACTCAGAACTGGTTAGTTATGAACAAAATTCGGCCCAGGCCTGTCGGATAACTTTGTATCCTACTTATATATATTTGAGTAAATATATAATTTATAGACTTTTTCTATAGAATTATATGATTTTATTTATTTTCTTTTTTTTGCCTTGGGCCCCTAAAAATAGGGTAAAATGGGCTAGGGGGGAGATGGACTTATGATTTCTCTCCATGGACCGGCCGGGTCGGCCCGTGAAAACAGTGGGTCGGATGGGCTGAGACCACGGGCCATATGGGCCGTCTTTCATTAGCTGGCGGTCAGGCCGGCTGGGCCATTTGTTCACCACTAAAACTGGTAAATGAATAAATGAACCAAGATCCAACGTTAAAATAAGTTATAAAGTTCCAGTAACAACATAGATGTTAATAAGATTACAAGAAAATAATTATCAGGTGTTGAGGATCACAAAAAAAAGGCTTGTGGTTTTAACCAAATCGTAAACAAAACTTCATTTCTATATCTTGTGGAGGGGGTGGATTTAACTCATCGAACTGGCATATAATTAGTGGGCATCATATCATGGAAGGCAATCCAAGTCCTCCGATATGTATTGGGGAGTGAAACAACACTCGAAACTCACTTCCGTTTGTACCTGCAAAGTAACAGATATGTTCCGAATTAAAATTAATACAAGGATATAAAAGCTTAGGTTTCGAGATGAACTACACCATCCTATCCCACTTGTATAACATTAAGAAAGTACCGTCTACAATAAAGTTGAAAAAAAATATACATACCGTGACTTGCTCTTGAAAGAGGACTTCTTCTTTACACCACCTGCAAGAGTTCTTTTCTGCTTTTTCTCGCTCATGTCACCCTGGAAAAGTTCTTGCATCTCTTCTGTTCTTGATTTAGTTGCTTGGCTAGGATGCTTCGGTTTCTTAACCGCCTTCTTCACAATTCTGCCAGCATCAACGGCCTTGTTTGCAGCCTTCACTGCTTTTGCTCTACGATATGCCACATCAACAAGAGAAATTCCCGTTTTCTCTTTCTTATCTTTCTTATTTTTCTCTTGTCCCTGGTCATTTTCAAATATTAATTGTTAAAGAGAGTATTGAACGTAATTTCTTTTGCATGATTATGTGTATTTCCACAATTTATAAACAAAAGAGTGTGTGATACAACAGAGAAAAGGAGAGGGTTACGTGCCTTGGCTTCCTCTTGATCCTCCAACATCTCTCTAGCCGCCTCCAATTTCCTTCGTTTTTTCCTAGGCAAATTTTTCTATAAAAAAAATAAAAAGTAACTTCATATAAATTGATTTGGCCAGACACATATTCTAGTAAGATGTGTAAGTGCAGTAAGCACCTCGCGCTCTCGCTTTCTCTTTTCTTTCATCTTCAAAGTTTCTGCTTGTTCAGCACTGATTGCCTCATGGCCAGAACCTTTATTTATCCCCATTGCATCCTGGTAATTCAAATGCCACTTTAGCAAACCGATACAACTAACACAAGATTTGTTCAAAAAGATCAGAAATGAACAGGGCGGCACGGAAAAGGGACTTAATTTAAGGATAAATTTAAGGAAAAGGGACTTGTTTTTTCTTTTTCTTTATTTAACCAATTTTTTTGTTAAGATATCAGAAAGAAACTGTACAGCTCTAAACGAGAGAAAACCTATTCTGTCATCATCCAAGATGTAATTAAGTTTAGAAGGGAAAGGGGTCCTTGAACGGTTTGGTTGAATGCTGGATAAAGCAAGAGATTGGAAATGAAGTTCTAGAAACTGAAAATACCATACTTGAGGGTACTTTAGTCACATAGAAGCTTCGATAAAGGTAGACCTAACCGATGGTCATTTTCAGTTATTGGGACATTGAGAAAAGAAAACATGCAGTTACTAACAAGTTATACATGGAGAAGCCTCTACAATAATGTCATCATCAAACAGTCTAATTAGACTAAATGACAACTGCTTTAATAGTTCAGAAATATTTAAGCAGTTCCAGTCAGGTTTACATGATTCACCGAAAAATTCCAATTCAACATACAATTCCAAACAATTAGAAAGTACCTTTGCTGCCTTAGCTACAAGATTTTTTTCTTTCTCTGTAACAAACCAAGTTCTTTTAGGACGTGAATAAATTCTGTCCTTGTATGCAATCATGTTTTCCGCCTACAAAGTAGTGAAGAAACACATACATTAGAAGTTGGAAAAATGATTTTGTCCCTAGGGAACTAAAGAAGCTTCAACAGTTAAGAAACTAAAGAGAAAAAATGGAAATAAACCTTTGTTGCCTCCATTTCAGCTTTTCTTAGTGCCATTTCTTCTCTGCAACAATCAAACGATCAGATGGTAAAATGATTCAGTTACCTTTTGAAAAATTGAGGATGGTAAAATGAGTCAGTTACCTTTCTTCTTGAAAAATCGAGGACACTCGATCTTCCATTTGCTCAATCATTTGAGACCATTTCTTTATTGATGTCTCAGATACAATTCGGCTCTTCAGTCTCGAACCAGCTCTTTTAATCTGTCATAATGGTTGAAGGTTTCTTAGCACATTTATTATATCAAGGAAAAAGCGTTATTCTTCAACTCCCTTATTTCCCCTCTATTTCTAAGGAGACACAGAAAAATTTCATACAACAAGCCAAATTCATACAGAAATTATAGATTGAAACTTTATATGAAACACAACAAGCCAAATTCATACAGATATTAGATTTTACTTGAGTCCAGCCATAAAACTATTGAAGAACTAATAACATACACTCCAATTGGCATTGAGAAACAAGAACAGAACTCCCAGAGATATCATTAAGTAAGTGACAAAAACTAGAACACATAAACCAGACAAATGATGAGTTTGAATAGGGAGATTAGAAGCTTACAATAGCTTTTAGGAGAGATCGATCCTCGTCCGTAACAAAGGTAACAGCATATCCTTCTCTGCCAGCTCTTGCAGTGCGACCCACTCGATGAACATAGCTGCATGATTATTTAAATTGGACATGATCAGAAATATTTAGTTTGACAGGTTAGCGTAGAAAGATGAAAAGTTAAGAAAATGAAAAACTTAGATTTGGATAAGCAAAATAGCTGAACTAAATCAAAGTCAGTGATCAGTTCTGAAACCAATTATTGAAGCTGAAATTTACCTTGTAAGGTCTCGTGGACATTCAAAATTAATAACTGTCTGAACACCGATAATATCAAGACCCTGGAACAAAACGAGAATAATGAGATGGCATGAACAACATTTCGAAACTCACTCAACATGGAACCCATAGATTTTATATTAAGCTATTGGACAGGAAGTTTTGGTCTTACACGAGCAGCAACATCAGTTGCAATCAGAAAATCCACTTCCTGCCTCCTGAAAATTTCCAGGGCCTATCCAGAAACCATGAACAAAAACTTCAATTTATGCGAACAAACAAATTCATAAACACAATAAAAAGCAATGATGCTGGTAGGTATTTACATCTAGACGCTGGGCCTGGGTGAGGTCTCCGTGAAGCTCAGCTGCTTTAAAGCCAGCTAACCCAAATAAAATTTTCAATCTATGGGCTGCCTTCTTGGTTCCACTAGTTATAGAATGAAAAATTTGTCAGTCATGAAGAACTTTATACTAGGTAAAATGCATTAGATACTTCACGGAATTCGCCATTAGTTAAGATATGATGAACATTAAATGGAAATTGGAAATAAAGCACGGTCTTGATTAAATCACCTTCATATTTCACTCTACTAGGATGTCTATATGCGATTTATCATAAAAATGTAGTTTGACCGTCTTCTCAATAGCGACAACAATGAAACAAAATATATATGAAGAGACTCAAAAAGAGAACGTGCGAACTCATTATTCTAGATCGGGTGAAATGGCAATCAACTTCATTTGAGACGGGAAAATACCTGAAAATAATCACTTTCGATGTAAAGGTCTTGGAGCACAAAGCAAAAAGAACTGCTTCATGATTTCCTTCACGAGTTCGACGTATACGAACCACCCTGCATACAAGATGATTTAGTACCATTAGACAGTTAATAAAGTAGATGGAATAAAAATCATTCAAATGGTACTTTTGGCCGTCTCAATTGATTTTAACTAAACGACCATGAACATGATAGTAATCAGCTAGCAAAAAGAACTTATTATAGATTACTCTTCAGTTAGTGCTGCTGGCCGTTTTGTAAATGGGTCAGCTTCTATACTTGATGGTTTGTTCATAGAGAACTTGATAAGCTCTTGAATTTTTTCAGTCATGGTTGCTGAAAATAGCATGGTCTGCCTCCTTTTAGGACACATCTTAACCTGAGGAGCAATACCAGTTATGTGAAGTTCATAAATAGAATAGCAACTTCCATATGAGAGGAACAACAAGGTTAAAATAAAATAAAATATTGGACAAATAAAAAGAATGAAAAAGTTGCTCAAACAAACTAAGAAAAAAGATTTGTGAAAATAATCATGTGTTGAAAGGGATATTTATGTGAAAATAATTCTCATGTGCTCAAAATTTCACAAACCAACAGCAGTAAGCATGTTGTTTTCGTACTGAAAGAAAATGTGAAGTGTTTGAAGATTTACCAATTCATGAATTTCAGCGCTAAACCCAAGCTCAAGAAGCCGATCGGCTTCATCAAGTATCAGAACTGCGAGCTCATCTAGATGCACAGACATAGAGTTTCTTAAGTGATCAATCATACGTCCTGGAGTTGCAACAACTATATCCGGCAGTGTTCTCAGGGCTGCTTCTTGCACCTAATATGATCTTTTAACCGTTATACAAGAGCAAATGGTAAATTCGACAGAGAAAATAGAGCACAGAGAACTTCCTCGTCGGGAGTTTACACTTCATAATAGGAAATGTAAATCCAGTGACTAAATTCAACAATCTTTAATGAATTGGAGACCAGGTCAAGTGTTTATTAGCATGTTATAATCATATTATCCTTAAATAGAACCCCGTCATGTTTTCTCCTTTCACAGCTCAACCAATAAGTAACAATTAACAAACATAAATTTGTTCGTTCTTCCACCAGTTTAATTGTCAAATACCTTGTTAATGTTTCTCACAGTCTAACAACAATGAAAAAACAAATATTTAGTGTCATATATGTAGGCATTAAGACTGCTCATGTTGAATTATCTCTGCAAAGCCAGACCACTTATTCATCAAGAGAGAGACTTGGCTTGTGAATAATTCATTTACGAAGACATATTAGCAACCTTTCCTAGTGAAGATGATGGTTGTTACACTTGAATCCTAGATAATACATGACAAGTGACAAACAATGGTACATATAAATGCCATTTAAAAGCATACTGCTATTAACCTCAAGTCTCCCCACCCCAGTAGATAAACGGGAATTCAATATATAAACCAAGATATAATCTCAAACTTCACCAAATAAAGCATGACATAATTCAAAAGCAAACCTTTGTTGAAAGACCACCAACCACCAGACAACATCTGATATCAGACATAAACTGAGACAGTTTTCCAATCATACTATGAATCCTGAAAAAGACAAACCATATCATCGCGTAAAAATACAACAAATCATAAGGGCGGAAAAAGTGAGATAAAAAAGAATCAAAACAAATTAAATTAAAAATATTGACACAGTTTATGCATCCTGACAGCGTCGGAGTGGTCAAGTCTACTGCAGGTTTAAGCACAAGTAGCACGCCTTGTAGAAGTGAAGCAAAACAGTGGTTTTCATTTATTTAGAACTTTAACAAAATTTCATTTAACGATAATTCATACTTCGATGTCCTTGATAAACTTCTGAATTACAGAACATCAAATAAGAAACTCTACTGGAGTTCAGTGTAACTTAAATCAAATTCATATTCTAAAATTGTTAAGGATGTGAATTTTACTGCATTAAAAGCAAGGCCATGCAGAACCTTGAGGTGAAAAGTCTTCAAAGTATTATATTATATGCCAATGCAGAACCAACTACAACCAAGAGATATACTTGTCTAATATATACCACAGCCAACATGAGTAAGAAAAGGAAACATTGATAAACACTGCCCTAAATGCATACAGTAACTTCATAGGAAGAACTTACTGAACTGCCAACTCCCTTGTTGGGGTCAGGATAAGAACCCTAATAGCTGGCCTATTCTTCGGCCGGTACAATAGCCTCTCCAATGTTGGTAGAGCAAAGGCAGCTGTCTGTATATTCCAAACAATATATTAACCAATCCATGAAATCAAACAAAATACTCGTATCCATTTTCGCAGTATAGTCGGAAGAAAAAATGAGATAAAGCAGAAATACCTTTCCAGAACCAGTTATAGCACTCCCACATATATCACGTCCAGCTAACGCCAATGGTATACAAGAAGCCTACCGTAATGCAACAAAGCATCAAATCACAAATTGCTCAACCACATACAAAAAAAAATGTTCTAAATTTAATGAGATATTAAAGGTAAATTGGAATAATTAAAAACCTGAATGGGTGTGGGTTTACTATAGCCCAAAGCTTCACATGCCCGAACCAATGGCCTAGAAAGATGCAGTTCTAGAAACGAGTTTGCGTGGAACGATACACCTTCAGCCGGTGCAAAAAATGAGTCCGCATCATTCCCACTCGTAGTTGCCACGTCATCATCCTCCTCCTCCTCTTCTTCCGGCCTAAAATCCTCCTGCAACAAACAATTTCCCTCATGTGAACCCTAACGTAAAAAATAGCCTCCAACAGAAGAATAAACTTCCCAACTGCAGTTCTCATTTAATAAATCAATGGGTGTGAAACAAGGGTTACTTGGTGGTGGGGCTCGACATCGGAGTTTTCCTCAGAGTCGTCATCTTCGGCGGCGGCGGCGGGAATAGGGCGACGCTCGAGAGCGTTGGTTATTTTTTGGTCAATCGAAGTGGTGCTCCGCCGCGAGTGTTCGTCGGCGACCGATTCCGAGTAGGCAGAGAAGTCCCACGGCGACTGTGTTTTCTTCTTTTTCGGCACTTTCACTTCTTTGATTTCGGAGTCCTCCGCCTCTTCATCTCGCTCTTCTTCGGATTCACTTGCGGATTCGTATTCGATTTCCTCGTCGCTCGGCGGCTCGAAGACGAATTTGGTTTTTAACGCCATTGTACGGCGGAGCGGAGCTGCAGGTGAGAATATGGGAGGAGGGTTTAAGAGTGGAAACGGCCAAATTGAAAAAGGGTTTTGCCTATCAGCCGCCAATTTCTTATTCCGCCTCCGCTGAACACCAATTTGAACGGCTTCTTGAGTTGTTGGACTTCGCCCATAAACTTTTCTCAGTAAAATCTAATTCGGCCCAATTAAAGGCCCATTGCCCATAATTTTGTCCGCAATAAAATATTTAGTACTAGGGGTGTGCGCGGGCCATAAACCCGCGGGTTCTATCAAAACCCGCCCTCGTCCCGTCAAACAACGGTTCTTGATTTTGAAGAACCAAACTTGTGGGTTTTTAACGGGTTTACGATAGGCGGGTCCATGGCGGGTTTGTAGTAGGACCCAACCTTTACGGGTCGAAACCCGTTATCGTCTAAACTATTTTTTTTTATATATATAATTTATAAGTTTTACGGGAGAATAATAAGAAACTAAAATGAATAACCTAAAATTTTTAATTGAAACCAAACATAAATAATATAAATGTCAAGAGTAAATAAAAATTAATATAAAACTAAAACTAACTAATTCATAACTTAAAAGACAAAATTTAAATAAAATAAATATAGTTTTTTCAAGCATAACCAACGCTATTCAGTTCCATTCAACACCATTTTCTTCCTTTTTTTTCTGCCGTGTGTTGACCGTTGTATATATATATTTTTTTTCCTACATTTTCTTAGAGATTTTCATAATCTTTATAGCTATTACTTTCACAATTATAGTTTAATTGATTTATGTATTTGATACACTGGAGATACTTTATTTATTCATTAATATTATTAATTTATTATACTATATAATGTAAACAAAACGAGTTGTTTTGTATGGCGGGGCGGGACGGGTTTCACGGGTATTAAAAAATATTGAACCCGTCTAAGACCCAAACCCACGGTTCTTCACCATTTTAGGACCCAATCCTATGGATGGATCTATCCGTCCTGTCCCAATGGGCCGGTTTTTCACGGGTTTGACGGGTGTAGCGGGTTGATGGGTCCGACTTGCTCACCCCTATTTAGTACCCAATTATAGGCCCGGCCTAGCATAATAATTAGGGTAAATTCCACTTTCCCCCCTACTACTTTGGCTCGATATCACTTTACCCCCTTCTAGTCCCGATTACATTGATTTGCCCCCCTATACTTGAAAAATTGCCTCAATGTGGCCCTCACTGTTAGTTTTCAGACCTTTGACCTTAACACTACTTGATCTAATTCTGAAAATTATAAAAAAAAATCACACCTAGTAGTTTAAATAATTATAAAAAAATTAGGAAAAAAATTGTGTTGGCTTTGTGGACTTTGTTTCTCTTTGTCATGATTTTTTTATTATTTTATTTTTTGTTTTTTTTTATTTTTTTTTTATTTTTAATAATTATTTAAAGTGGGAGAGGTGGCGTTTTTTGTAATTTCAGAGCTTAGATCAAACGGTATTAAGGTCAAATGTTTGGCAACTAACAATGATAGCCACATTGAGATAAAATTTCAAGTGCATGGGGGCAAATTGATGCAATCGATAGTAGAAGGTGGTAAAGTGATATTGTGCCAAAGTACAAGGTGAGAAAGTGAAATTTACCTTAATAATTATTAAGCCAAATTACGACCACCCGTGAGGTAAGATCAAATTAAGAGAAAACCCCTCATATTTTTTCTTTATTAGGTTGAAATTCAAATTGGACCATCGTTAAATTGCACTTTAAGATCAAAATCATGCATATCGAACCATTCATAAAAAAATGTACTTACAGCAAACTAACGAAACAGAAAAGGAAATAGTCTGTTCCGCAAGAATGGCCTAACAGTTGAAGGAAGTAAACTTGTGCCAATTAATATATGTTCAAATTCTATTGGTCATCGGGTCGCTTCGTTACCGATAAAAAAAATGAAAGTAGTCCTTATCTTTTTTTTATTTTTTAAAGTTAAATCCCCCCATAATTGAATACATTTGCATACATATATTCCAATTGTTGAGAAGACTTTATTCTATCCCATTCGTCATTCCTGCTAAACGGATATAATTAAAAAAATCAACTAGTACTAGCAAACATAAAAGAAACCTAAATCACCCAATGGAGGACCACATCTAAATGTAAAATGGACCAATGGCCTCACTGCAAATAATGTAACATTCACTAGATATTTATAGTTCACCCCATTTTTATATTCAAATTTACATTTAGATATTTTATTTTTAAATTCAATTTTATTACAGTTGAGGATTTTGAACAAGACAGGTTTTCGTCATACTCTATTATTTTTTTCGGCTGTGAAAAGTCAATAGATTCCAGCAGACACAAAATGGGCTTGTTCTTCAGTCTTCACTCCTCCTGTAATAAGTTGATTTCTTAATTAATCCTCCAAATTTTTATTCCCCTCAAAGAAAATATTATAATTATTAAATTTCATGATTTAAATTAATTCTATATCAAAAAAAAAAAAAAAAAAAAAAACTCACAGTCACGAAGTCGATCAACGGCCATGGTTGATCCGTGATCGTCATAATTAGGGATGTTACATCGCATTCATTAATACTCCAACTACTGCATGCATTCAACACATAAATAATGCATAGCTATTTTCGGCGTCGTTTTTATTCTATTAATCTATCGAAAGAGACAGAATATTGCAAATTCCAGTGGCTGCAAAAATTCACTGAAAAATTGGATGCCTAACTTAATTAATGTTTCTTCTGAAGTTCACCGAGTTATATCCTATCAAATACATACACCGATCACATTACATGTTCATAATCCGAAGTCTTAGCTGCAACAAGGGCTCGACGAAACAACGAAGAAGCAGATTTACGAAAAAACAGAGTATCCAAAATCTTGATCAATTCATGCAATTTTACTCTTAGCCATTCAGACGTGTATTCAACATTCGGCATTCAGTGCTTAATCCTATAAAACACAACCTAAGCAGATTTGGGAAAAACAGAGTAGCCAAAATCTTGATCGGTTCATGCAATTTTGTATTACCAAACATTAATGTAATGAAGTTCACGAAAGTTCATCGTTAAACAAGATTAAAAAGAAAATCGGATCCTTCTATGTTAGATAAGTACTATTTCTAGTAATCGAAGGGAGTGAAAAGCTTCAACTAAAATACTTCGCCCCGACAATCTCATGTTGTCTTTAAGCATAATAGCCAACCGAAATAAAAGTCGGTATCTTCTGCTACTAATTAGCATCAAGCTATAAAGACAGAAATCGAGGCCACAAACAGTGTTAAAGAAAACAGTGGCAAATGTAACTCATGTGAAAAAGCTTCAAAAATGGCGATGAAATCTCGATAATATTCGTAATCTGTGATTTCGTTATACATTGTAACAAAGGAAACCACAATTTGAAGGGATTGAGTGAAGGTAAAACAGAAGCATTTGTACACAAGACAAATATATATATTTCATTACATATATACAATATTTGAAAATACAGAAACACCCTCAAAATCCATCACAGCCAACCTAGTAAGTAGTACCCCTCCTTCAAACTTGACAGCATCTTTTGCATTATCAAATTTACAAATTCTGAAAGCAAAAAAGTTGCAATTTTTAGGGGATAATTGGAAGCATTTCTCTATATATTTTTGACCTAATAATTTGTGAGTTATAAGCTGTACCAAATTAACAGAAGAAAACTCCTCAAAAAATACTCCACAACTCCAAATTCGATACTTATTAGGTTTTGGAATTCCCAATTTCAGCTCCTCAAATAAATTAAAAAAAAAAATCAAGGATTATGGTGCTGAGGGAGGCGGAACCGGACCTGAGAGGCCGGCGATTTGACGGCGACGCCGTGCCAGCAGATGCCGCCGCGGCACATTTCGTGGCCGTGATCGCGCGACGCCATCAGCGCGTGGGTGGCCTTGCGCGAGACGTCCCAGACGAGGCTGGCGATCAGGATCGCCGCCACGACCGCCGTGGAGAGGACGAGGACGCAGACGCCGCTGAAGCTCCGGCCGACGGCCAGACCGTATGCCCTCATCGCGGCAATGACCAACAGGTACAGTGTCGTCAAATTTCCGGCCACCGCGTTGGAAATCGCCATTGCGTCGATTTAAATTTTTTTTTTTTTTTTTTTTCTAGAGCATGAAGTTTGTCGGTGGGTGGTACGCGCGCGTGTGTGTGTGTGAAAATCGAGAATGAAGAAGGTTGTCGATGGATTCTGGTGGGAGGAATTTAATGGTTTGGGGGTGGGGGATTTTATATACACGAAGAAGTGACTAAAAAGGGTCGGGTCGGGTCGGGTCGGGTGGGGGTGGGTGGGGCGGGGCGAAGGTCAGGTTCTGTGGTTTTGAGCTTATCTTACTTCCCTTTCAATTTTGGCTGAATTTAACCGCATTAAATTATTCCCTAGTGACACGTGGCACTGCCTAATGAAATCAATTTTCTGTAGACGTGGCAAATTACATTTTCCTATTTTCTTAATCTTTGAACTTTATTATAATTTTGTGTGAGAGATATCTATAATATGCTATGCGACCTATATCGGGTAGTTTTTTACTATTTATTTACATATAATTGCACACGTGTACATCTGAATGTATGTAAAATACATGCGATTAAGAGGGTGTTTGGCTAAGTTTATAAGATGTTAAAAGGAGCTTATAAGATGTTTTAGAGCTTATAAGCTCTTCCAAAGTGTTTGGTAAATTTTCAAATAAAGATCTTATTTTTTTTCAAAATAAGCTGTTGGACACCAAATAAGATTTTTTTTAAAAAGTACCTCTACCCCACCTTTTTATTTAAGATCTTATAATGAGTAAAAATAGAAAATAAACTCATTATCCAAACACTCTAAAAATTAATCCTAAAAATAAGATGTAACAGCTTATCAGCTCTAAAAACATCTTATCAGACGTAAGAGCTTATCAGCTGTTTTAAATAAGCTTAGCCAAACACCCTCTAAATCTATAGTATGGTATACCAGACAATATAACCGACGAAGTTTACTCTGAGGAGCATAGACAAAATTGATATTTTTCTTTAATTATAACATTTTTAAAATAAGAATACATACAAGTAAATTAGAACTTGTAAATTCCGTACAAGTTGAATTTTCTCAAAATTTATTGAATCTCAACAGCATATTTAAAACTCGAAGCCCCCCTAGCTTGAATTATTGGTTGGTCCAATATAGCAATTTAATAGCCAGAAACAAATTTAGTTCAACTTAAACTAGTACTTTTAACTTTTAAGTTACATTAAATAATTATTTTATTTATTTTGGGATTTGGGGATGGAGGGGTGGGGGTGGAGTGGGGTGGGGGGGGGGGGGGGGGTGGGGTGGTCCCCAATTAGGGGCCGCCAATTTGGATTTGGGGAGGGATATACCCCGGGCAAAATAAAACTTCCAACCCTTTTTTTCCCTGGGTTTTTTCCCTTTTACCCAAACTATTTACCTTTTTACATTTTAAAAAAAAACCTTATTAAAATTTTCTTTAAAAAAAAAAAAACTTTAAAAAATGAAACGAAAAAAAAAATTTCTTTGGTTCACCCCCGCAAAAAAGGACGAGAATTTTAAAAGGGGGTCCGGTGAAATCCAGCGAACCCCTGTGAAAAGCCCCCGCCTTTTTGGGGGGGGAAAAAAAAAGGCGGTTTTTTTAAATTTTTTTAAAAAAAAAAA